GAGTAAGGAACGAATCCCTAGCACCGCATAACGGAGTAAGGAACGAACCCATTCCTTATCCCAGCTTCTGGAAACCTAGCAGTTTGAAAGCATGTAAAAATGCAAGTAGAAAAATAGAGACTACTTTGGTGGGAAGGTAACAGCATTCCATGCACCTTCGGCATTTAGTCATGCCAGCCACATAACCAAAGAGACGTCTTCAGACAGCGCTGGCTCTTCGGCTTTGTAACAGAGATGAGCACTTCCCCCTAGAGCCGGAAACAACTAGCACGTATGTGTGAGGGGAACCTTTACCTTTAACCATCTTCTGAGCTTATGATTATATTTTGAGTACCAGGATTGCACTGAAACATGCAGCATTTTCACCCCTAAATCCACTCCCCATTACCTCCAGGTTTCCTCATTCAGCAGACAAATTTTAGTGCATGAAGTCATTGAGGGTTTTTGTTATTGTTACTGCCGCTATTCTAACATCTTCCAAAAATCTACTTTTTGGTTTTGGTCTACCTTTTGGTCTACTTTTGCAATGGAAAGTTAAATTGGCTATATATTTAGGTAGGTATGAGGACCTGTTTCTTCTGCATTCACAGCTGTCCTCTCACCTTGGTTTTTTTTAGCTCTTGGACAGAGGACACCCGGGCACAAATTTTCTCAGAGAATTTGAATGCCCAGGGTCTTTCAGAAGCCCCCTGGGAGAATCTGAAGAATAGTATGGAGGCTAAATTCAAGGAGTTTGAAGAATTGGCTGCATCAGGGTGGGAGCTAGTAACTGAAGAGCACTATTTGAGTAAAACGGTAAGTGTGAAAGGCTAGAAATATAAATATCCCACAGGCTGTCACTGGAATTATCATTTAGGTATCGTTATAATTTAGGAATCGGTATTTAAGCCCAGAAGAAGATCATGGTATGGTTTCAAATATGCATGTCTTTATGTATTAGTGGCTCAGAGCAGCTAATGGCTTTCTGTAGATAATGGTTTTCATAGATTTCTCAGGACTGCTCTTAATTACGGATATCTTTTATACCGTCAGACAGCCCCCTCCTGGGCATTAGCTTCATCCAGCAGCAAATGCTTTCCAGTTGGATAGCATGTATTCACAGGCACAGATGGGTTAAACCCTTTGGAAAGAGAGATGATATGTAATTATAGATTATATCCAATTCATACCCTTGAAAGCATTTTTCCACATAAAGAGATCCAGTGAGCACATATTTTATACATTAAAAAACAACAACCTCACAGAGTTCTTAGAGCACCTACAGTATTTGCTACCTCTGATTTAGAGAGGTCCAGTTACATGATCTTATGAGTGAGATATTGATTTAGTTACCACTAAATTGATCAGAAAATAATATTATGGTATTAATTATAAAAGTTATCTCAATTTTTCCTATTTTGAGCCAGTGAGGAGAAAACTGTGGTGAAATGCAGCACACATGGGATGGGACAGACACACCTATCATTTAAACCTAGATCTTAAGATGAGAGATAAAATTCAATTCTGTAAATATAGGTTGCCCTCTACAGAAGTGAAAGCAGTAAACACAGTCCATGGTACAAGCAGACAAATGTAATCACAACCCTCAGCGTGATTTGTAATCGTTATTGCACTGGATCAACATGCTAAGTTTCAAATAGATGTTTTAATTGCTTTGATTTCTTAAGAAAGTTCGAGTTTTCCTATAGCTTATTTTGGAGAAGTAGAAGAAATGGTTTCAGAGCAATGATTTGGATGAAGGATATCAAAGGTTTATTTATTTTTAATATTGAGAACATATTTGGGAAGAGACAGAGGGAAGCTATGGGGTCCTTGGCAATAACCAAGCTCAGACACAAACAAGGACCCCAC